GTCCTCGAGAATGAGATCCATGATGTGGGCGACGCAAGGAATCCAGAAGATGTGTTTCACGCTCTCATCTTTTTGGAATACCTCCATCGCCGCGATGTTCACCCCGGTGGAGTCCGTCACGAACGTCGTGATGTCGCTCAATTGAACGTCCATGGACTTCACCCTTTTCAACCATGCGTTCGCGAGGGCACTGGCGTCCTTTTTGCCGCGCATGACGTCGGTGGACACATACACCACCCCGATCTCTGTACCAACAAGGTAGTTGCACAACGTCTGACCACGGATGTTGRTCCAACCATCGGTCATGATTGTGCAACCGGTCTCTCTCGACGTGTCAAGCACCGGCCGAACACACTTCTGGACCTCACCATCCAGCTCGTCCAAAAGGGTCGTGCGCAGCATGTGGTACGAGTGAAGTGCAGGCGCGGGCGCCCCTGGAACCCCCGACGGGATTATCATCGTGAACATGCATTTGAAGCTTTCAAGCTTCGTGCTGTTGAACGGCATCCCGCTCTCGACGATGAACCGCATGATTTGCAGATGCCATGCGCGCTCCAAAGGGTCCGAATAATATGACGTGACGGCTTGCTGCCTGTAAGTGCCCCGACATCGTCCCGTCGTAGCTCTCCCGCCGAGGGCTCATAGGTGCCGCGCTCTGGGCGACTGCAAGGTCACGAATGCGCTGCAAAGGGTCTAACGTTCCGGTCAACACGGGTGGAGGCTGTGGTGCAGACCGACCACCGTCGGTGGTTGTCGGAACAGGGGTCGGCGATGAATCGGACACCAGAGCGGGGACCTCCTCGGCAGGCACCCCATGATCCACCTGTTCCCCGAAACGAGGCACGGAAGCGGAATGTCGAGCATCTGCAGGTGCGTGTGACGGATCCGGGTGGGCGGTTCCGTGAGCGTGGTGGACCACTGGACGCTACGCCACTCTCGACGGTGGCGGTGGCAACTAGGGGTGCTCCGACGAACTGCGGGGTGATGCGCCAGGTGCCACCGCAGTACCACCCCGTGCGCCATCTGGCTGCCTAGCACTCCTGAAAATAGGGGCGAGCACGGGCGCTGAACTGCCGGCACTCCCCCCCCACCTGCGACTCTCAGTAAATGCATGTGTGCTCTCCTCGTCAAATGCCGCAGAGCCCACACCATCCCTCAGAGGCGGGGGCTCATTGGCTGGCGTGGAATGACCAACTCCCACATCGCGAGCACCTCGTGTCCCAGCCAGCGGCGCAGACGGCGGGGCTGCCGGTCATGTTGCAACTGTTGTTGCAGGACGTGGTACCGTGACTCGAATGGCCGGAGCCCCAGAATTGGGCGATGCAACCGCTCCAGAAGGGGCGGTGGGAGGAACCAGCGGCGGCACTGCGTCCTCGGGGAATCGAAGAGGTGGCCACTGCAAGCTCGGATGACCTAGCAAGTGGCTCTGCAACGTTTCTATGGCCGACGCGAACTCCTTTGGACATTTTGTCATGTCCTTCGACCAGATCGCATTCCACACAGCAGGAGTGGCTGCCTCACATCGGAACTTCTCGCTCTTCGAGAAGTGCTCCTTGGCGGCTTTAGCGCCCCCACAAATCGAACGCCCGCACAACATGCACAGGCATCGACGAAAGCTCTTCCTGCCCGCCGTCGTCGACCCATCCAAATAACGCCCTCTAGCCACGAAATGCCACACCGGGTCGTCCCGCTTGCCGTCGACTGTCGGGTCGACCTTGAACGGCGAGTCAAACGTCTTCGTGTTATGACCTTGTCGGGCGGTCGTGAGCGAGTCTACCGGATCCTTCCCCCGGTCCTGCGACATGATGAAAGTCGCCAACCGCGAAAAAAAAGACGATGTCGGATGTTGCCAACTCGCAACAGAGATCGAAGTCAGCGTCAGAGCGGCAAAGAAACGCTATGAAACAGGCAAAAACGATGAACGCAAAGTGCAGAACACCTGGACATCAGAGGGGAAACACAAGACGACATGAAACAAAAACACAAACAACCAAAGAACAACAAAAAAAACTCAGAACTCGGAGGCAAAAAAAAAAACAAAACGTCGATGTTCTTTGTCCCTTGTCAAAAAAACGACAATGTTCTCCGCAAGGCAACCGTTCCACAGGCGGAACTTCCGATTCCAGGAGGGCGATCCCACTAGCCACGTATGTGGAACAGTGTGACTGGTGTGGGACGGCTGGGGGACA